CGCGGAAGAGTTTTTCCATGATCTCTCTGGAATCCTGGAAAACCTCCTGCAGTCTAGCCGTACCCTCATTGGGTTGAGACAGGGGCTGTGTCTAGACTGGCCAGTTTTTCTGGAAAATCAGCCACTTTTCCGGGAAAAACTTGCCAGCTGTCTACACTGGCCGCTTGAATTTCCGCAAAAGCACTGACGATCTCATGTAAGATTGTCAGTGTTCTTGTGGAAATACTAAGCTGCTCCCGTTTGGGCAAAAGTCCTTTTGCGCAAAACTTTGGCGCAAAAGGGCCAGTGTAGACAGCTCAGATTTGTTTTGCGCAAAAAAGCCCCGATTGCGAAAATGGCGATCGGGGCTTTTTTGCGGAAAAGCATCCGTGCCAATCTAGATGCTCTGTTCTGAAAATGCTTTAAAAGCATTTGCGGAAAATCATGCCAGTCTAGACATAGCCAGGATGTGTGGGCTCTGAGGTGGGAATGAGGGGTTTGGGTGTGGGAGAGAGGTGCAAGCTCTGGGAGGAAATCTGGATGCAGGAGGAGGTGGAGAAGTGGATGCTGGCTCGGGGAGGGGGCTTCAGGCTGGGGAGTGCTGGGGTCAGATGGGGTTGTACTAAGCAACAGGCTTGTGGCTGTGAGAGTGCAGAAATTTGGGTTGGGGTATGTGAGGGGCTCAGGACAGGGGGTCCAGTGTATGATAGGCTCAGATCTAGGGTCTGGGAGGGTGCAGGAGTGTTATAATGCTGCGGCCAGATGGGGGCTTGGCCCCAATGGGGGAGGATTCATTTTTAAATAAAATACTGTCAAACACAAAAAGTTTCTGCTTTGTCTGTCTTTATGAGAAGGGAAGTGAACCTATTTTGAGTCAGGGGGTCACTGACCCACAGAAAAGTCAGTTGGGGCCACACAAGGGAGATGGCAGCAGGGGAGAGGGGACAGGGTTCTGCAGCAGGGAACAGGGTACTAGTGGGAGCAGGGAACAAGGTGCTGAGGTGGGGGCAGGATTCTGCAGCAGAGGACAGGGTGCCAGTGGGGGACAGGAGAGAGGGGACAGGGTGCCGGGGGGAAGGGACAGAGTTTTGCAGCAGGGGAGAGGGTGCCAGTGGGGGCAGGGAGTTCCCTGCACTAACCTCCTCCCAGGACTCTTCCCCGCCTCCCCCCAAAGGAGGGAAGCCCCCGCACGTGCCTCCTCCAGGGCCAATTCCTCTTCCTGAAGAGGAGGAAAGCCCTGGTGTGCGCCTCTTCTGGGGACCCCCCACCCTGCAAGTTCTGGCATGCCACAGACCTGAGGGAGAGGAGCAGCCAGCACACGTCCGGAATCCCCAGAAGTGGCGTGCAGCTGCAGGACTTCCGTCCACCCCGAGGAAGCCAGCACTACCTCCATTTTCGCTGGAGGTAGGCATTGGGGCTTCTGGGGGGTGGGGAGAAATGGGGGGGCCCCTGAACGTCTCACGATCGACTGGTTGAGCCCTTGTGATCGACCAGTTGATCACAATTGACCAGTTGGTGACCATGGGTATAAGGCTTATATTGCAGAGCTCAAAGCATGGGGCTGCAGTTGGCTCCCAAGGAGCGGCGTCAGGAGCCGACACATGCTAGGACCTTGCCTGCTCCATTTCAGAGTCTGCAGCACAGGGCAGTCAGCTCTCTATCCAAAACCAACCAGTTAACCATGTAACCACTAGGATTTTGAATGGTTACTGGTTTTGGAGCTTTTTTGCATCCCTAATCCTGAACTCCTGGTGCTCCTGATAGTGCTGAAAACATTCATGTTTTCCCCTCTTTGTCTCACGTGGAGATCGCTATATTGTATAATGATGACATGTCAAATCATACCCAACTCAGTGAGTTCTGTGGAATGGCCACTGATTGCCAACTTAGAAGTTTTAGTGGTAGCTGATTATCTCTGAATAGTTTCCACATTATTTTCAGTTCATAGATTCCTTTGGAACAAATAGTACTATGAGTCTAAACTACTGTTTTTCAATAATTTTCTGTAATTGTTTATGTGTGTAGGAGTGCTTTGCTGTCCCTCTCCATAAGACCCAGAGGAGGGAGTTCATGCCTGTTCAATCTCTAGTCACTAGTAGGAATGTTAAAATGTGTTTAATTATGTAACTGCTGAATATTTCAGCGATTACACAGTTACAGGGGATTGGAGGCAGGAGGAACTTGTGCTGCCTGGCTCCTCCCCCGACACTGCTGCCTTTGTCCATGCTCATCGGTTAACTGTGTAAACAGTTATACTTTCACATCCCTAGTCCCTACCATGGCAAGAATTAGCTGTTTCTAAGGCTAGTATTGCCAGGTATCTGGTATTCACCTGGGCAGTTCAGTATTTTTGTCTCCTGTCTGTTAAAAAACATTCAGAAAATACCGGACACCTAAAATGCCTGTTATTTTCTGAATTTTCCTGGCCAAGAGGTGAAAATCCCAGGTGCTTACCAGGTTCTGCAGGGGAGCTATCCCGCCTGCGGCAGGGAGACAAGATGGCGGGCGGCCGCTGGCAGGCTGTTAGGGCCAAAAAGCCTCAAAAGCGTTTCTTAAAGGGGCCATGCTGGTTTTTAAATTTTTTTTTTTTTTTTTGTTTAACTCTCGGGGTCCTTTTTTTTTTTTTTTTTTCTTTCCTCAACAACTTTGGTCTCCTTTTTTCTCAACAGAATTTTTTCCCTGGTGGTTTTTTTTTGAGGGATGTGGGGGGGTGTTCGGTAGTTTTGGTTAAATCATCTGGCAACCCTATCTAAGGCCCTCGCCCTCTATGCAGGGCCTGAGCACCAAATAGTCTAGGGCAGTGTTTCTTAAACTGTGTTCCATGGCACATCGGAGTGGAGAAAAACAGAGTTCAAAATGGCCACCCTTAAAGAGGCAGATGACTTTTTTTTCTCAATAACTTCCTCCCCAACCCTTCCCCCCCACACACAAAAAATCCTTGGTGTTCCTCATTTAAAAAAAAATATTGTTTGGTGTTCCTCGGTCTTACAAAGTTTAAGAAACACTGGTCTAGGGGCTAAACAATCAGATGTCTATGTCTGCCTGAGCCACAACAAATGCAGAACTCTTGCCTAAGGTGGAGAAGCAGCCACCCCAGAGGTGAGATAGGTAGGGAGACTCAACCCCATTCTACTCCACTGGATCCCAGCCCAGGGCCCTAGCAATGGAGGTGGTTTCCACCACTGAGTTAATGTGGATCCAGCCAAACACTGACTTGGATTCAGGCAACAGCACAATTGGACTATCAGCTGGTATTCCTGGGCTACTTCTTAAGCTCCTCTCATAGTATATGTATTGTTTGGGATTGTCCTCCATCTCCCCAGGGTACACTGCTAACTGCAATTCTGGCAGCTCTGTGTAAGGTCCTTGGCACTGTAGAGTTCTCGGCAGGAGGCATCTGCTGCTCCAGCCCAACTAAGCTGCAGGGCCCACCTTTTATACTACTTGTTCTGCCCATGTGCTTCTGGTGGGGGCAGAGATGGGTGTCCTGGCTCCACCCATCAAAGGACAGGCAGGGATTCCTCCCTGCCAGCCTCAGAGGGAGGCCATGTCCACTTGCTACAACATGAATTCAGTCACGTCACTGTTAAACCTCTTTTTTTTCTGATCAGATTCTGAATTGGAACTCATACTTTAATTTGCAGAGAACTCTCATGTGGGTACAAGGAAGTTCTCAGTTTGTTACAAACTAGGGATGTTAGAGTGTAACAGACAAACCATTTAACCAATAAGCAACTCAGCCAGCTCCTGAGGAGAGAGCTTCGCTGTAGCAAGGGAGCGAAGCCATCTCCCCCAGAGCGGAGCCAGCAGGGGCTGGCGGCCCTGCTTCCAGGGAGGCTTTGTTGCGGGTTCTGTAGTTTTAAGCTTTATACTGTAGTGCATACAGCATGTAATTGTTTGAGATTTTCAGTAGGGATGTAATAGTGGAGTCAATTAACTGAGAAGCCAAAGCTTATAAGTTAATGCAATAGACTACATGCATTTCGCCCCTTGCCTTGCCAGTAAATTTTTTAGCAGGCTGGCCAGCAGCCCATTTCAGTCCTGGCTTGCAACGGGTCCGGGACCTACCCTTGCTGTGGCTCTGCGTTTAAAGTGTATTAGAAGCTGGGTGGGCAGGCAGCCCGGCTCAGTTCCAGCTCGCCCTCGGTCAGGGAGCTCAGACCCCCCGCCCTCCAGACAGGGCTGCTGCCACCCCACACTGCTGCCTCTTTATTAGAGGCAGCAGCACAGGGCGACAAGCAGCTGGTCCACAAGGGGAGCTGTTTTTTAAACTGGCTCCCCTCATGGACCAGCTCCCACCTGGCACCCTGCACTGCTGCATCTGATACAGAGGCACAGCGCGGAGTGGCAGAGGGCTCCTCAGGAGTGAGGCCAGAGCGATGGCTGCTGGCCCTGCCATTGGGGACTAGAATAGTCAACTAATCAATAAGAATTCACGAGGTTACTCAACTATTCAATTAACTGTTTTTAACATTCCTAATTTTCACTGGTTACACGGTTACCTAGTTAACCAACTTTTAACATTCCTATTACCATCTAAAAATTGCTGTTCATTTTTTATGAGCTCATTGTAACAGTTTAATAAGTGACGTTTCCACCTATTTTTTTTAGTCTTAGGTGTAAGATTTTTTCATCTCCAAAATGATTCGCTCAGTAGATTAACCGATATAAAACATAAACAGCTCTTGGCCAAGCACTTCAGACATTGGGGCATCTCAAGGATGGAGAGAAAGGAGGGGTTTGTTTTTTAAATATGGTGTGATCCAGTTTCAGCCTCTCTACTCCACTGGAGAATGGGACTGCATTTGGAACATGCTCCTTCTGCTCTGCAGAGATCTCTGCTGATTCATGAGTCTTTCCTTGCCCCTGCAAAGTACATAAAATTGAATTATTCTTCCTGGTACCTATTTACTTCAGTTGCATCAATACCAGCTTAAAAAACTCAGCTGCTCTCTCTTCCTAGGTTTTTCTGTTTGATTATTTTTTCCTAATTCTTCTCTGTATCTATATAAGCAGGGTCTTAAATGACCCTCACTTCTCCAAGGTCACATTCAGTGTTCCTGAGGTCAGTTGCTAGAGGCTGTTCTTGGTCATTTCTGCCAGTGATAGAGTGAGAGCTTGGCCCCCTGCCACTTCCCAATTTAGATCTGTCTGCCCCCTTTCAGCAGACCAGAGGGAGACACTATTGCAGGGAGCCACTACTGGCGAGGGAGCTCTTCTCAAAGGTAAGAGATTGTACTTTCTTCTGACCAAAGACAGTAGCTGTCGCAGTAGAGGGCTGCACTTCATCCAGCACAGCCGCCACTCTACAACAGGGCTCTTCTGTCTCTCTCTTTTTTTTTTTTTTAAGCGAGACCCTTTGCTTTCTAAAAATACCCTCCCAGTTGCTACCATGTGTCACATAAAGGACAATGTGATTCTGGGAGGCTAGAGTTAAACAGTTCTTCCCCGTATAACTGTCTTGGGTTTGCAGTTTCTCATTGAACCCGTTGGTACTTTAACTTGTCTCTGCTGCTTCAGGGCTTTCTTGTACTTGATAGCCAAGCCCTTTACTCCTGACTTTTAAGGGCTTCTCATACCTTGTTGTTGTTGTTTAGCTTTGAGGAGGAAAAAATATTTGCATGTGTGGATGTGATCTGTTTTATACTGTTTAGTCTTTTTGACAAGTTCCCAATATTTTGTATTTGTTTATATTTGTTACCGATTTGTCCTCCCCTGCAATGTGGGGATTTGTGACCTTACTGAGCTTGGAGTCCCCTATTCTCCAGATAATTTGGTGTCATCTTAAACTTTCTTTCTAGCTGGCAGGAAAAGGTAGTGGTTCCCTGCTTTTCGGATATGAATAGCCAAGTCTTGGAACGGTAATGGTGGGATCTTGAACTTTGAAGCTGGAAGTCTGGGGGATGCCCATTGCATCTTAAATTAACCAGCAGGGTTGATATATGGGTCACCTCCTCGTATGTCTTCCTGAGATCCCTTTAGCTACTCTGAAATTTCATCAGGCTTTAGGCCTTCTGACCTTCTTCCACCAGCCTTTTGAGTATTACAGCTTGACATTTTCTGGCTGTGGATAACGTCCTTGTTGATTCCTGGTCTGTGTTCCTTCCCCAGCTCACAGTTACCCTTTCCATCAACCCCTCCACCAAGTAAACCTAAAGAAAAAGGATCAAGGCATATTCTGATACCCTGTGGTGCCAGCAAAGGTGCTGTGCTCTGTGAACATGATAGGGACCTGCTTATTAAATGAGAGCACACACTAGCGAATTCCTTAGTTTCTTGGATGTCCATTGGAGCCTGGATCTGCCTCTACACTATCAGTCAAGCACTATCTGTACCTAAACTCTCACAGCAGATTATTGTGGGGAGACGGGACACAACAACTAAGGGCTAAATGTATCTCCTATTAAAAGGGAGAATTCTATTGATTTTAATAGGAGCTGCAGTAGAGTCCAAGGGGAGAGAGATTCTTGCCTTTCATGAACCACTGAAATCCTTTCCCATGAGGAAGTTAGTCTAAGTGGCAGCGAGTGGGAGCTACTTCCGTCCATCCCTTTTAGAGTCCAAGCAGGATCCAGGTTCCCTCTGATACTCCACAGTATGTGCTATTCCATATATTGACCAGAAAGCAAAGTATGATAGGGTTTTGTAGTCAAGCTGTGACTAGACACTGAACCCCACCTTGGGGTATCCAACCCCACATGGCCAGGAAAGTAGCTGTTCTCTCCTTGAATCAATCCTAAGATGTCCCAAATGGTGGGCCATCAGACCATGCATACTGTCCCTATTTCCATAAGTAATTTCCTGGGCAATTCCTTAATGGTTTTAAATTCCACTGGCGGTGTTGATCCGTGGTGATGTTCTTGATTGAATGCAGGACCTTTGCTCTCCCCGTAGAAAAATAGACTGTAGAACGGAGAATGGAATACAGTAACCTGGTGCCGTGTTTACATGGGGCAAACTGTCCTCCAGCACCAAGAGACCCAGAGTGGACTAAGGTATTTTCTCAGTTGACCATGGAATCCGAGACGGTTGTTCCTTGGGCGCAGATGGTTACAAGATGGTTTGTAGTTGTTTTTTTTTACTTACCTTTTTTTTTGTTGGTGCTGTCTTTTGCTTTAATTGGATTCTCAAAAACCACAAGTGAAGAAAACAGCAAATTTATGGAAGCCACAAATATATATTTCACCTTCTGCAAAGCCTTTTTATCTCAAGTAACATAACTGTGAGGAATGGAGATAGGTGCTGGTACCCGTGTTATGGTTTTTTTCATCCTCTTGTCTGGCTAATCCTTTCAGTGTTTGCCACTGCTGCAACTCTTATGCCAGAGTGAAGCTTTCCTAAGTGCTGGAGTATTCCAGCACTGTCAATGAGATGTACTTGATACATAATGGAGCAAAGAAAGGGTTTAAAGTGTATTTGTGAGCATAAACAAAAGCCTGTGTAAACATGACTCATTGGCATTCCAGTTCCCTATTTACTGTTTCTGTGATTTCCATATTAAGCTGTTCAGTTTTATAAGTCGCAATAATGGGTGGGGTCTTTTTACCTGTAAGTTGATCTTGAAATTGGATCAGAGCTTTGCGATCTAGATCTGAGGTACTCTAGCAATTCTTTCCCCATGCTTATGTCTCTCCAAGACTAGTAAGGTATGTTGTCCCTGATCTCTTTCCTGAGGTTTCAAGCCTGACTGAGTAGAGGCTTTCTTTATCCTGGGACTCTTGTTTTTAGAATTCCATTCCCGTTCCATCCTTAGGAGTCAGCTGGTAAGGTTGCTGTTCAGATAAGTATCTTTGATGATTGGTATTTCCCCTCCCCCCATTTCACCTGCTCCTGCCTCCTTTTCCCCTCGCTCCCCGTTGTGGGCAGGAGAGTTATCCAGCAATTAGAACATTAGACCAGAAGTTGTAAAATCAAAGTCCTGTTGCTGGTTGTTCAGCTGGTGTAATCTTATCTGGAGGTGGTGATTAGGTCAGTTGTATAGTTTTCCCATGTATAAGGTGGAAATAATAGAAAAAGGGAAACAAAAATGCTTGTCAGTTTAAAAAAAAAAAGGCTTCCAGATGAGGGAATTAAAAACACAGAACTTCCTAGTTTAGAAAGGTGAATAAGAAGTGATATGATAGAAGAGTATAAAAGTGTGGTACACGGAAAAGGTGTGCCATTTACCCCTTTTCTGAATGCAAAAACAAGGGGATGCTCAATTAAATTAAAAAGCAACCATTTTTGGTCCGTAAACCAGATGACTGATTTTTTGGAGAACAACCTGGTGACGTAGTAATTCTAATCAGTGTGAACTTGAACTGTGCCGGTTAACTAGAGATAACATGTGAGAATGATCCATATTCTGTAGTAAAGTTTGGTTAGGAAAGTTGTTTGGAAAAAAGTCCTTCTCCATGGTTGTTGTAAAACATATTAAAAAGTGGTTAAGGGCCAGATTTTCAGAATAGCTCTGTTCCTTTATAGGCACCTTAATGAAGAGGCCAGCTCCCAGTGAAAAAAGCTTAGATGCCTAAATGGGAGCTGAATATGTACCCTGTAATAATGTGTTCCAAATAAAGGATCAATGCCAGGACTGTTGCCTTCACAGTTTTGCTCTCAGATTCTAGCTCATTACCTCACCCAAATATGGCTGCAGGTGGCCACTTGAAGATTTTTTGCAGCCTCAACTTTCTGGGAAGTGATGGGGGAGGGAGGGGACAAAGCAGAAGCCTCTTCCCTGGTGCTGTCAGCAGTGATTGTTCCCTGACCCCTTCTGGAGACATAACAGCTGGCGAAGCAGGCAGCCTTCCCAGGGGCAGTGGGGTTAGGCTTCAGTCCTGGGAGGGCAGATGGCAAGCTCTATCCATGGAGCGTTGGGCTTTGTTCCCTGCGCAGTGGCAGACTCTGTTCACAAGGTCATCACACACCCTATCATCCCTGGCCTCACTGTCTCCTTATCCATCTCCCCATCCAGGGCTTAATTTGTCCCCAGGCTTGCCAAGGCTGAGTAAGTCTGCTGTGAAAGTTACATGTGTATGTTTGTTAATGTCACTTTTCACAACAGATTTAGTATCTCACAAGTCCAAAAAAAAACAACCCTAAAAACAAAAGAAAAAAGACAAGAACAAACAAAGCACCTTACTTGTGTTTCTGTTCTCTTTAGGTCCAGTAAAGCAGTGGTTCTCAACAAGGGGCACACACACCCCTAAGCATAGACAGAGGTCTTTTAGAGGGCACATCAACTCCTCTAGATATTTGCATAGGTTTACAATAGGCTACATAAAAGCAGTAGCAAAGTCAGTACAAACTAACATTTTTATACAGACAGAATAAGAAAGTCAGCAGTTTTGAATAAGTGTGCAGTAACATTTGTATTTTTACGTCTGATTTTGATGCAAGTCATTTTGAGACAAAACTTGGGGTAGGCAAGACAAATCAGACTCCTGAAAGGGGTACTGTAGTCTGGAAAAGTTGAGAACCACTGAGTGAAGGACAGAGACAACTGTACATTATTTTTATTATTGAGTCTGGGAGGGGGGGAGCTGCATACATAAATTATAATGATTTGGACGTGTATATGCATATTTATTTATTTTTCCTAAAGGTAGTTAAGTATTTTAGAAAAAATTGTCAGAGCAGCCAGCAGCTCTTGGACCTCCCATCTGACCAGGTGGATTTGCTTATAGCAACCTGGAATAATGTATAGGCACTCTTATGGTCAGCATTTCAATACGGTGGAGATGGATGCTATAGAAAAATCTTAAGATGTTTTTATAGCACCATAGATGTGCAGAAATTTCTCAACCGCAAAGAGCATTTGGTCCAACCATGGCAGGCACAAGAAAACAAATGCAGCAAGTGAAAAAAATGTATTTAAGAGAAGGAGGCAGTTGGCAATTGATCTCTCAGCCTAACTTGGTACCATGGCACCTTATAATATCCAAAAACCAAGTGTCCTGTTGAGATGCTGAAACTGGCATTTAAGTGCTTAAAATGGACTTTTACGTGATGCTCCCACTTTGTGCAGGATTTGAACATTCCCCTGAATGTGTCCACATGAAAACTGGGTCCTGTGTGCCGGAGAGGGGCCAGGGTGGTGGGCAGAGAATAGATAAGCGTGTGTTAGCTTCTTAATCTGATCAATGTCCTAAAGAGGGAAAGGGTCACCAACCGGTGTCAAGCTCTTCCTAGCTTTACTGGCTGTGAAATGCTTGTTTGCTTTAATTTTGTCACTGTAGGAAGAACATTCACAAAGGGAAGCTCATGGATCTCACCTTCACAGCCATTGTCCCACTGCTTCTCGGCAGCCTGGGGATCTTCGCCCTTTTCAGGCTGCTGCAGCGAATGCGGATGCGGGCCTACCTCCAGGATGCAGTGGTGGTGATCACGGGAGCTACCTCTGGCCTGGGGAAAGGTGGGTTTCCAAGCACACTAAGAAGTGACAGGAGAATGGGAATGTAGGGTGCAGAGGGGTGTGAATGAAAAGCTGTTTGTTCAGAGTCACCCTTGTAAACACGTATCAGCACGGAGCAGAATGTTTCGTTGCCTTTGCACCTTGGAGAGGGAACAGGAGGAGCAGCACAACAAAACCAGTCTCAGCTACCCAAATGACACACTTCCATGTAGGGCACCACACCTCAGCACTTATTAGAAAAGTCTTTTTGGTTTGTTTACATGTACTTAGAGCTCCTGGAAGTGAATAACTGGTAGCAGACCTGTGCTGTCAGGAGCCTTTGGGTACCTAACATCATGGAAAAGCCAGGGGATCAGAGGGTGACTTCCTACAGATGCATGGAAAATGCAAAAACTCTTGTCAACTTTATAAATGCCATGTACAATAAAACCTGTGTTATCTGGCATGCTCGGGGATTAGGGCGTTCCAGTTATCTAAAAATTCCAGTTATCTGAGGGGCCCATCAACCTAGGAAAAACCCCTGGACAATAACAATAAAACTCACATTTTTAATATTGATCGATTTGTAGTGTGAGGCAGTTGGTCTCACATTTCTATTTTGAGTTAAGGATGATTAGTACTTCTTAAATAAAAAATTAAACCAATCATGGTAAACCAAGCCCGGCCTGTGCGCCTGAAGATGTGACAGTATTGTGGCTGGGAGCAATGCTGGTTAACAACGTTTTCTGGTTAACAGAGTGCCAGATAACAAAGGTTTCACTATATATCTATATGGGCTAGGGATTGTATTTTGGCTTCATAGGAAAGTTATTGGAGTTTTTCTACAGGAACTGAAACAGTGTAATGCAAATCTCTAATTTGGAGAAGCCTCACATGCTTTTGGAAACTGCATAGAATGGTTTGACCTATTTAAAGAGGTCTAGTAAACCAAGTACTGAAAATCTTATCACATAATGCCCCTAATATGGGGGGGAGGCCACTCCCTTCTGATCCAAGAACTTACATGACACTGGGAGGGACAGGCACTGTGAGAGGTCCTAATATACTTTAAACCAGTGTTTCTTAAACTGTGTTCCGTGGCACACCGATGTGCTGCAGATAACAGAATTCAAAATGGCTGCCCTTAAAGGGGCAGACAACCCTTTTTTTCTCAATACCTCCCCCCGCCCCCGGACCTTTTTTTGGGGGGGGGGGAGGAGGGCCCTCAACATAATCCTTGGTGTTTCTCATAAAAAATTGTTTGGTGTTCCTCAGTCTTAAAAGTTTAAGAAACACTGCTTTAAACCCTGCCAAGGTCTCAGTGTAGTAAGAAAGACATGTATATTGTTTAAGATTTGTATTCTCTGAAATGCTGCTCTTCTGAATAAATATTTTCTTTATGAAGGCTGACTGGTTCTTAATTAGCTCTGTCATTGTCACAGAGGAGAGGACTGCAGGCCCTGAACTAAAGTCAGGCCTGTGGAAGGGATTACAGAGACTTTCCAGCGAAACTGCAGCTTCAATCACCGGTCTATGGGAAGAGTGTTGTGGGACTGCCTAGAAGCCTGAAACCTAAGTAGGGTGACCATAAGGAGGCCACCGAGGACTTAAAGGTGTCAAGAACTGTGACACAGACCATTTCTAAAAGACCTACTGGAGCTAGTGGTCTGGACTCGTCCCCTCTTGTAATTTTTTCCCCACTCTGTTCCTGGCCAGCTATGGGGCATGATTCCATGCATGCTTCTCTCTCCTTGGGTGCGTCTAGACTGGCAAGATTTTGTGCAAAAAGCAGCTGCTTTTGCGCAAAAACTTGCCAGCTGTCTACATTGGCCGCTTGAATTTGCGCAAGAGCACTGACTTTGTAATATACAAAATCAGTACTTCTTGCGCAAATACTTTCACACTCCCGCTTGGGAAAAAGCCCTCTTGCACAAGAATATTTGCGCAAGAGGGCCAATGTAGACAGGGAAGAACTGTTTTGTGCAAAAAAGCCCCGATGGCTAAAATGGCGATTGGGGCTTTCTTGCGCAAAATAGTGTCTAGACTGGCCACGGATGCTTTTGCACAAAAACATCCATGCCAATCTAGACGCTCTTTTGCGGAAATACTTAACGGAAAAAATTTTCCGTTAAAAGTATTTCCGCAAAATCATGCCAGTCTAGATGCAGCCCTTGAGTGCAAATCCAAAGTGGGCAAATTTTAAGTTCAAATTTTCTACCCCACTGTCAGTTGAAGCAAAGAACTTTACAAAATGCAAAGGTGGTACATATAAACAGCCATCAAGTATGTTAACTGGTAGCTTTTGTCAGTGGGAGATTTATGCACTGCCTGGGTGGATGTATTCCTCCTTAAAGAAGCTGCCTTAAAGAAGCTTCTTGGGTTTACACTGCCTTTCTGTTGTCTTATGACTTCTCCTCACATGTACAGCATGTCAAAATATCTGGATGCCATCTCAGCCACTCAGAACTGAAGAGCTGCAAATGTGAGGGGGCAGAGAGGAGTATAATGTTCCATGGTTGGAAGAGAGTGGGAGAAGCAATGTCCTGGGAGTGTCCTTTGAAGTCCAAGTAGTGTATTGCAATTTAAATGCCAGACATTTATTGGGAGTCTGCTTTCCTGCTGTATTGCTTTTCAACTTGTGTGGAGCAAGCTGGGATCTACCTAACCCAAAATATTTATCCCCTTTAAAATTTTGAAGTTCCACCCATGATACAATCAGCTTTTCTATCTTATAGACTCTGCTGCATTAAAACCCCAAGCTAATGCCAACTTTTCTCCTGGGACTATTTATACATTGACGCATCTTAATTCCTCTTGGCTATGTGTTGTTCCACACCCTTTGACATTGTTCCACACTCTTTGATGTCATTACAAAGCAATCTTGCTTGGAATAATAGTAGCTGGATGGATCAGAATTATCATTAGGGCCCTACAAAATTCACGGCCATGAAAAACATGTCACGGACTGTGAAATCTAGTCTTTTTTGTGTTCTTAGTAGGGATGTTAACCATCGGTTAATTGAATCATCAATTAACCTCATGAATTCTTATCGGTTAGTTGACTAGTATGTAGTTGCTGGGGCTGGAAGCCAGTGTGCTCTGGCTCCACTCCTGAGGAGACCCCTGCCAATTCACGCTGCTGTCTGCAGCCCAGAGGCAGCAGCACAGGGTGGCAGCAGCCGTTGTCCAGGGGAGGGTCTGAGCTCCCAGACCCAGCATGAGCTGGAACTGAACCTGGCTGCCTGCCCGCCTGGCTCCTAATACACTTTAAATGCAGAGCCACAGCGGGGTAGGTCCTGGATCTGGCACGAGCCAGGGCTGAACGGGGCTGCTGGCCAGCCTGCTAAATTTACTAGCAGGTGGCAGGGAGGGGGAATGTTTGCAGTTGATAGCATTAACCTATAAGCTTTTGCTTATTGGGTAATCGATCACACTATTACATCCCTAGTTCTTACCCTCTACAGATGTCACAAGGGAGACCAATATTTCTCATATTAGGGGTTCTGACCAAAAAGAGTTTCAAGGGGGTCACAACATTATTTTAGGGAGGCTCACAATGTTGCCAGCCTTATTTCTGTGGTGCCTTCAGATCAGGGTGGCTGGAGAGTTGTAGCTGTTAGTCAGGCACCCATCTCTGAAGGCAGTGCCCTGCCAGCAGCAGCACAGAAGTAAGTATGGCAACTCCAGGTTGTATCATCCTCATTTCTACCTTGCTGCCTTAAGAGTTGGCCGGACAGAGAGTGGTGGCTACTGACTGGGCACCCAGCTCTACAGGTGGCAGCGCAGAAGTAAGAGTGGCAATATCATACTATGCCAACCTTACTGCTGCCTTCAGGAGCTCGGCTCACAGTCAACAGCTGCCACTCACCAGCTGCCCATCTCTGAAGGCAGTGCCGTAGCCAGCAGCAGTGCAGAAGGGTAGTAGTACCACAGCCCCCCACAATTACCTTGCAACCCCCACAACTCCTTTATGGATCATGACTCTTAAAATTTAAGTAGCTGAAAAAATGCAATTTATTATTTTTAAAATCCTGGTACCATCAAATTGACCAAAATGGACCATGAATTTGGACTAGGGTCCTAGTTATCTCACTGCAATGGCAGGATGAAGTCTTCCTTCCACTCTACTTGAGTGGGCGCAGTTGGCTAGGAATTATTTTTTCATGGCCCCTGATGTTTCAGATGCCTGAAGAGGCCATGTGTCCACCTGTCATGTCCCTCCTCCCCTTCTCTCGGCATAAGATACTTCTTTCCAGTCCAGATATGTTGAAATATTGGACCTTAACTATAACTTTGCTTTACAGAAAAACTGGTTTAGATCCTTTTTTTGAGCGGTGGTTTCTCCTGCACTGGCACCTAGAAGCTCAGGCCCCAGTGTGCTAGGCACTGTTTATGCACAACAAAAAGATGTGCCCAAAATACCTTACTTTATATTTTAAGGTTAGGGAAAACAGGCAGACATGGGGACTGTAAAGTAGTCATTATCAGTGGCCACCACACACCAACTGCCTAACCATTGTTCAGCATTTCTAAATGACCGAGCTTTGTTCTTACTCCAGAGCCTTTCTGCTTGGACTCATGCCTCTGAAGCAACCTAGCTTTTCAGACAGAAGATGAAAAAATAAGACACTACTTTAAAAATAAAAAGCTTTCCTATTAGCAAGGTGGCATAAAGAAAGCGTGTCTTGCTGTAGGCTGGAGATTACAGTGGCGTATTTGTGAGATGGCTTAATCGTATGATCAATATGGCCATCTCCAACCCATGCTAAAGGGATCTTTAGTGCATACATCCAGCTATAAAACAAATATAAGATCTGTTTCTTGCATTAACATGTCTGCTCTTCTTTTATACCCTTCCTCCAAAGAATGTGCAAAAGCTTTCCATGCAGCTGGGTCCAGACTGGTGCTTTGTGGCAGAAATGGTGAGAGACTGCAAGACCTGGTGCAGGAGCTCTCTGCCAAGGCCAACCAATCAAAGAATGTAAGTGGAGGGAGAGAGAGGGCTGTTGTGTCCTGGTGCAGGCACTGCTGTTCATGTCATTACAGGATTTGCAGAATTTCTTGTTGGCTGTGTTGAATGAGAAAGTTGCAATTCTACAATAATCAGCAGATTTTTGCTGCATGTACGGGAGCATAATCTAGTGATGTGTCTTGTCTTGCAGAAAATGCCCATGACTCAACCATCTTAAAAACGATCCATGTTTTAACAAACCAAGTGTGTGCATGCAGGGTGTAGACCAGTATCCCTGGCAGAGTAGCTTAACCGAGTTCAGTTTTGGTTTTGAGCTCTACCTATAAAATAGTTTGGATAAAAGGATAGTATATGGTCATTGATGGTTCATAGTGGTGCAGGTACAATCCCAGGATGGGCTGAGACTATTGACCATATCAAACTCGTGTTACTACTTTGTTAAATACAATATTAGAGCAAGAGAGATTCCAGGGGGATCGCACTTGTTTACTCCCCGCCTGACAGCTGGTGGTGGGGGCCAGCTGACGCACAACACGCTCCAATTATTCTGTCCTGGTTTATTGGTCCACAGAGCGCTGTTACAAGTTGGTACAACTTGTACCTGCAAATGAGACTTTAAAGTTGCTTTTTGATCCTCTCCCTCAGCTTGTTCCTTCAACTGCAGAAAAAAACAACTGATGCCCTTAGCTGTACCCTGAGCTAGCTTTTCAACGCCCCTCTCCCAATAGAGCAGAACAAACTCGGGATGTGTGTATGGTACCTCCATGCACTGTGACATTTACTTCCACAACTCTAAGCAGCACAAGAATCTTCTGCTGTGCTCTTGGGCCAGATAATAGTGCCATTTCATGTTTGTAAAGTGTTACCGTAGTTTAATATAGCTCAGATCCCAGAGGATGGGACTGCTTGGAGACATGGGTAGGAAAGAAGAGTGAATTCTCCCCAATGGACTTCCATGGGACAGTCCCAGCTAGGGTATCCACAGGTCGAAAATTAATCTTCCCACCTCTCCATTTCATTACCCTCATTATTTCCAGTGCTGGGAAGACCCAGGGGTGGCCCAGTGAGGAACACAGAGTTCTAAATTGTGGCCACTGACAGACATTCTTGATACCAATAATAGTCACACCTTAATGTTTCAGGATCAACACCACCCAAAAGAGTCACAATAATAGTGTACATTCATTGTTTCATTTACCAAGCCTCAATCTCAATATCACTGCTCAGTGGATCATTGCATGCTGGGATCTGTAGTCTCTTTAGTCCATACCAATGGAAGTGGCAGTTTGCTTTAATGATTGCAAGCAGCCACTGCAGCCAATGAGTGGACAAAGGTTGGGTAATCCTGCCTTCTCAGCTTTGAAGGTACATTGCTCTTCTTTGTGCCTTCTCCCTAAGAAATGGGAGTGAACAGGCAGAATGGCCAGGAGCCCAGAAGAAGCCTTTTGCTAACACGTTGTTTGTTCACAGATGCACAAACCTTGCACTGTGATCTTTGACCTCTCTGATACTAAAATGGTAGTCAGTGCTGCTGAAGAGATCCTGAAGAGCGTGGGTCATGTGGACATACTGATCAACAATGCAGGGATCAGTTATCGAGGCACGATATTGGACACGGGGATGGATGTGGACAAAAAAGTGATGGAAACCAACTACTTTGGTCCTATAGCATTCACAAAAGGTACATGCCGCTTATCCCTTCATGTGTTTGAGCTGGCCTGTTGCTTAGCCGTTTAGTCTGACCCTTGTCGTTACCCCTCCAGCTGTTAAAAGATCTCCTGAACTCTCTGCTCTCTCAACTCTGAGGCCCTTGCAATAGAATAGTTTCTTCCATAATTATTATATACCCGTATCATACCTGTATCCCTAGTGGGCAGCCCTATTTTATTTTTGTTTGATTTGTGTAGATAGCAAATCTGGGAAGTGGTTACCTAGCATGAGTTTAGAAATATTGAAACCAAGAGTAAAAATGCCCCTTTTATCACTTCTGATAGGAGTTTTTCTGCCAAGCCATAGAGGGTTAGAAGAAAGAAAGAATCCTGCCTTATAATGTATCTTTCTCTACACAGAAGTGATTTGCCTCTTCTCCCCTTGTAACACTTCTTTTGCTGGCTGGTGCATCCTGTCACTTCTGCAGTAGAATGTAAACCCCTCCAGTCCTGCCTAAAATTGCCTGGAGTTTAGATGGGCTTAGAAAAGCCTGTGTTCTGTCAACTTTGCTTAGTTGCTTTGACTTAAGTAGAACCTGTTGTATTTTTACCCTTGGTAAGAGTGCGTGGTGTGTGTGTCATAGTAGGGATGTAAAGAACTACTCAACAGGATAGTCAGCTAGTTGCTCCCCCCCCTCCCCCCGCCCCTTGCTGCCTCATGTAGGGTTAGTACATGAGTCCGTGTGTGTATAGACTAGTTCATGATGGAAGGTATCTCTGCTATTGCCATCTCCTGTGGAGCTGGAAGATTTGGGAGGGGGCGGGCGGGGGAGAACCACCAGAGAACGGACCTTGGCATTGCTTAATCTGGGGCCTATAATGTTGCTTTCAGGGCTTGCTGCATAAAGGGTCTTCCAGCATGTGAATACAGTAAATGAGGGGCTTTCATTTTAATGTGAGCATCCTGTTCACCAGTGTCCCCTTGCCTTTCTCCTAAATTAGATCAGCAGACCTTAGATGACCCCCACTTTCACAGCAGTACTGTTTTTATGAACACTGAGTATGGGTAGCACTAACAGCTATTATTGCTCTTCTGAATAAGTCTTCTCTCTCTCTCCCTCTAGCACTTCTGCCCTCCATGATCAAAAGACAACAAGGCCACATTGTGGTGATCAGCAGTGTTCAAGGCAAAATAAGCATTCCTTTCAGATCGGCATGTAAGTAGCTCTATGCAGGATGGGGACTAGGAGCCCAGGGCACTGGAGTGGAGAGCTGAATACTTGGATTCTCTTCCACTCCTCCCATTTTGGAGCAGGCACTATGCATGGAATGCAATGATCTGTGCAAGGTTCTCAATGGGATCTCCACCCTCCGATGCAGTGGTCAGAAGCGTTCAAGCCTCTGTCATAAATTTAAATCTTCATCCACGGAAACTGTGGTCTAGGAGGGGAGCCTCGGTCATAAATTTTAATCTTCATCCACGGAAACTGTGGTCTAAAATTCTCATGGGAGGCCGGCCAGGATTTCCTTTCCCATCCTGAAATCTTCATGGCATTTATCCATGCCAACATCTGGGAACTCCTGCAAATTTTAGTTACTAGGATTTAGTTCCACATTTGTATTGCTGTTTGTTTATGCTCTTTTCTGGCTGTTAGGTGACAGTTCTCCTCCCTGGGTGTAAGGATCCTGGGAACAGAGAAGCATATCCTGTTTCTTAAACAGAGTTCAGTAAATTGTATGCTGCCTTTCCAAAAATGCATGAACGGATTAGGTCTTTGGCATGAGCCTGCAGTCAAATTTGGACAAATAAGAGTTAGGCTCAAGATGAGACATCTGTGGAAAAAAATCAGTGTAGGAGACCTCAAGGATACAGGGATTTGAAAACAGAATAAGTGTGCTTGGTACATGGGACATTAGAGAGCATTTCAAGCTTAGGAGGGAAAGGAACAGAGAATAAAGAGGAATGCATAGACAGGTTGTAAAATGAAATGAGTGGAACTATAAAGAGTCTGGCAGGGAAGGAGCTTCCTTGGTACAGAAGAAGAGAGGAAGCCTGTGAAGGGTTTCAAGATGGGTTTGTGAGGTGGTCAGAGCAGCAGAAGAGCAAGATGACAATGATGATGTTTTGAATAGATGAGATTGGGGGAGAACAAGATGAGTTGTGGAAGATGACGTAGCTGATACAGTCTGCTCCAGGCATGGACCTAGGTTCTGAAAGTCAGGATGGTGAAGGATATGGATTTTAGAGACCACATGAAAGCGACAGGACATGAGAACCTGAATGTGGAGCAGAATAGAGAAGATTCTGAATATTTACTCCTGCAGACTCCATGAGGGAGGATTAGGATGTTCCTGCTGGACTAGGAAGAGAGACTTTGAGCAAGAGCTTGATTGAGGTTTGGGGGGGGGAGGGGGCAGCATGGAAAAGAGGTGAACAAGTCCTGCCCTAGGCTGTATGACTTGTCTCTACTCTCACCTTGCTGTGCAATCAGGTTTTTAAAGAAGCTACTCACTGCTCTACACCTTGTCATAGCAGGCCCTGCTGTCAGACATTATATTCTCGCCCTGCCTCAACCCTGTATTTCCTCAGCTGCTCTTCCATGCAGAACTCTGGCTCTCTAGTCTTATCAAATGAGGCAGCATTGATTGTTCCAGGGCCTTCTGCCCAAGTCCGATATTAAGCCCTGTTTCCTGGCCAGCTTCCAACTTGAGTAATTAGATTTTTGCCTTTTGAAAATGCCTCTAACTTCCATTAAGAGTTGCTGTCCTTCGTGGCTTGTAAGCAAGCGATATAGTGTGGAAGCATGCTGTGCTCTAGTGACAGAGGGGTTGCAAGTAAAAAAAAAAAAAAAAAAACTAGCCTGAGTCCTGCTCCTCCTCCCTCTGACTGCATGCCCACGGTGTGTTTTGCAGATGCAGCCTCCAAACATGCCACGCAAGCCTTTTTTGACTGCCTGCGAGCAGAGATGGAACAGTATGAAATCAATGTGACTGTTGTGAGCCCTGGCTATATTCAGACAAATCTTTCTGTCAATGCTGTAACTGCAGATGGATCTCGCTATGGAGGTGAGGATTGGCCTTTTGTGCTCAGTAGAGAAGTGAGCTTGTCTCCTGTAACAAACTACTCTCAACGCCTCCACCCCAGCAATTTGACAGATTGGCCTCAGGAGTTTGCCTCCAAGAATGGCTTTGGGTGTAGGGGGTGTCTCCAAGCCATAGCACAAAAGCTGAGATCACTCACCAAGCAGAAGTTGCTATTTTGGGGTTATGCAGGGATATATGAACTGGCATTTTTAACAAGCCAACTCTGTGGCACGCCACCTGTTTGAAACAAGTGTAATTGACAGTGTTTCTTATAGTAACCATATTGGTCCCAGGATATCAGAGACAAGGTGGATGAGCCAATTTCTTTATTGGACCAACTTTTGCTGATTTAAAAAAAAAATCACCTCAACTTCACCTCAAGCAGAAATCTCAGTTTCTTCCCAGGATACAAAGAATATACCACAGAAAAGAGGCAGTTAGTTGAGAGAGAAGGTGGGAAATGAGTTCAGGTTGAGCTCCAGCTGAGCTTTGGGGGATATGGAAACCTTCCTTGTCTCTGCTAGTCATTATGCACTTGGCATTTATGCAGTCAAATGGCAGCAAGTGAAATTTGAGTTTAACATTGGAGCCTCCATTCATAACTGAATTAAAATGTCTAATAATGTGTCTGGTGGGCCATGTGGTTCACTGGCGGAGAAATGGCTTGGGATCTGGGAGGAGTCTGTCTACTCATGCAAACTCAGTGATCGCACTAAACTTGGGTTTCCAACAATTGGTTTAAAAAACAAGATTCTCATTGACACCAAAACACCATCTGAGCTTGCCTTTCCTGGGGAAATAACCCTTCACACATGAGTGCTTACCTGCTGCTGTCCATCCTGATTTGCATTTGCTCTTTACAGTTATGGACAAGAACACCATTGAAGGCAGAACAGCTGCAGAGGTGGCTCAGGTAGTCCTTAATGCAGTGGGGCAGAAGAAGAAAGAGGTGCTGGTAGCTGGCTTAATGCCCTCCCTGGCTGTTTACCTGCGAACTCTGTCCCCCAGACTCTTCTTCACCTTTATGGCATCTAGAGCAAGAAAGGAGAGGAAAGCAAAGGACTCTTAATCAGAGCTCAGCTCCCACGTGTGTTGACTAGGGAAAGGAGACAAACTCAGGCATCTTTACTTCAAGAAACTAACTGAAAAGGTTGCGCCTTACCATTGTGTAAGCTGGAAGTTCTGTGCAGATCATGGGAGGCTCACGGTGCCAGAAAACAATGCCCCACCTTCACCAAGAGAAAGCCCTCTCTGCTACAGGTGAACTGGCTGAAGCTGCAGGGGATGACACCTGAGAACCATTTCCACTCTCCCCACCCTCATTTTGAGTTATAGTGCTCTCCACTTAGTAGGAACCAGTGTTAGCTAAAGCCAAGCACAGGCAGAGAGATGTTAGCGTTCCCCACATGGTGCTCCCAATGAACTGTAGTCCTCATGTCCGAGTTCTCCAGGAGGCTGCACCTCTTTGATTCCTTGGGTTGGAAGGGTCCCCTGTGCCCCTAGTCCTTTGTACACAGCATCACTTAAGCCAAAACTGTTTGCTGCTGCTTTAAACAACTTAACGCACCCAGGTCTTTTAGGAATGACACTCTGGAAATTTGTACTGGATGGAGCATGACTGACTCATTAAGCCATCTAGGCTCAGATCAGCTTTTGTATTAGCCTTTTCCTAACCTAAAGTATCTTCAGAAAGACAAGCCCCCCACTTCAGTGTTCAGCTTCAGGTCATGTGGCTGCCAGGTAAGCAATGAACGCCTATCAAAGGCAGCTGCAGCAACGTGAACCTTTGACTGCAAAACACTCCAACACCCAGCATTGTTCTGCTCCAGGCCTAGAGCAAGGAATCAGCTGTGATCCCTTTGGTACCAGGCAATAAGTCTTGTGATGGAGAACAAACCTCCGGTTAATGGAGGGAGACCCACCTGGTTTTATTTGTTTTAAAAGCCATTATATATTAATTTTAACCCATCACCATGAAATAGTGGGGAAGCAGTATCCAACTAAACAACTTCAGCATAGATGCTCCAGGGAGAGGACATTGTATCTGTCTCTTCTCTCATTTTCCCTGTGCCTAATAGTGTCTCGCTCACAGATGGGGGCAGAACTGTCATCCTCTCCCCCAACTGCTGGTTACCAATGAGAGTTAGAATCTGTACCCTACAGGGGGATGATATTGCTCAATTTTTCATTTATCTGATCGAACAAGGGGAGCAGATTCACTTAGCTGCCTTATTTTAAAAAATCCCTGATAGCACAATCGATCCAAACCCAGTCCCTGCACTCAGCTACTGTAGTGGGCTCCCTGCTAGCCTGTGTCCTATACTTAGCCTGAATCACCATTGCTGCACCCTACCTCTTCGGCATGTGTCCTGCCTGCAAATGTACCTCAAATGAAGGAAATAAAAATTGTACTCTGTGTCCCTTCAGAGTTTGAAGTGAAATGTTGTGTGCTGAAGCTAATTTGGGGCCATTCCTGTACTAGTGCCCTGTCAAGATGACAGTCTAGAACCATACACCTTAGTCCCAGCCTCTGCTGGCTTGGACATAGCTTGGGCACAGCTAGTTGCGAAGGGCAGACTTTTGCAAGGGGGAGGGTCCTCAAACACACTTCAGCTACATCTACATTGCACAGCTCTTTGGAAATGGAATTCATACGGTCTCCTATTCTAAAAACACTAAAGCTACGTCTACATTGCACTTTCTTGCACAAGAACATATGGTAATGTTTGAATATTTAATGAGATGCCATTTTTGCACAAGGGGCTTTTGCACAAGAAGGAGCCATCTACATGGCTCCTTCTTGCACAAAAAACCCCTCTTGCGCAAGAGCTGTTCTTCCTGAACATAAGCGGCAGAACAGCTCTGCGCAAGAGGGGCTTTTTTGCACAAGGAGCAGCAGTGTAGACAGCTCCTTCTTGCGCAAAAGCCCGTGCTGCAAAAATGGCAGCTCATTAGGTATGCAAATGAGACAGCAATATTCATCCCCATGCTTCATTTGCATATCTTATTGCACAGCCATGCACAGTGTAGATGTAGCTTTCAGGTTTTCATCTTAAAGTACTGACCTGCTTCTGCTCTACGGTGCCCAGCACTGAAAGCCCTCACAAAGCATTGCAGCATAGAGCTGGTAAAGTAGGATAAACATCACAACTCCTTGGATGGCTGAAATCACAAACATTTCATGCACAATCTCAGTGCTGAGGTTATGGTTAATGGAAGTGCTTTGATGTACTAACTAAAGCAGCGGGTCTCTCCCAGCTGATTTAAATCCAAGGCATGATCAAGCACTGTTGTCCTTCACTGTTTCCTCCATTGGGAGGGACACTTCCCTTCTACTGAGGGGAACTTGTTCTGTTTGCTAGTTTCAGCTTTCATACCTTCTTGCAGTTGTGTTTTATGGAGCTCTAGCTACACAGCCTGTATGTCATTTAACTTGTCTAGGTCCTTGCACTAGGAGTGGGCCACAGCAGTTCTTACTCATCTTTCATGTGGGCACCATCCTCAGCCCCCATAGTCTTGCTCTGCTGGAACCACGACAAGGGCAGCAGGTTTGCAGAAACTTTGGTGGTGCTCAAAGCCTGCACCCCTCTCCTACCCCAACTTCCTCCCTCCTACCTAAGGCTTGGACAGGGAGGTTGGGTGCAGGCTGTGGATTGGGATAAGGGTGCAGGAGAGAGTGAGGAGGGCAGGATCTGAGAGGGAAAGTGGGGCTAGAGGGAGAGTGGCTGCAGCACTTAACTGTGATATACCCCCCCCACCCCCAGCAGCTCCTAGGTGGGGTAAGAGGAGGATCATTGTGCACTGCTGCCTGCAGACATCACTCTTGCAGCTTTGCAGTGGCCTCAGGGGCACTTAGGGCAGGAGCAGCACATGGAGCCACAGCACTGCTGGGGGGGGAACGGGGGGGGAGGCTGCAGGGATACACATGCCAGCAGCTGGGCAGAATGAGCAGCCAGAAGCTCCTCTAACTCCAGGGGAAGGAGAATGCACAGGGGCAAAAGGTGGGGATGGGAGTCATAGCCCCAAACTTTGCTGGAGCCAGGTCTCCGGCCAGGAATTGCCATTACTTTCCTCTTAGAATAATCCTAAGGCTACGGACACTGGAATGACACACCAGGCAGGTGGGACTGTTCCCTCATGACGATCTAGTTCTAGCACTGCACAATGAGATGAATGCATTTACAGAAATATTGTAGCAGCCAGCTGGGATTTTCCACATGATACATAAGACTTTTTCCTGTCCCTCATGACATTTAAGGAGATACCTAGAGCACCCCATGGCAGCTGTGCATCCCACTTGTGGGAATAGCCAGGCAACTAGGGGCTTATCTTGGGGAGGAGGCTGCCCTCTGGGAATCCCAACGCCTGCCAGATGAAAGAACCACACATGCAACCGTTACCAGTCCTACATGCAGGCTTGGGGGTAGCTCTCGTAAGCAGGGCTGGGGCAGAACTTTGCTGGGCTGTAGTCTAGGAGATGGCCACCTGCACAACACATTGCATGATGCAGGTTACAGAACACGCTCTGCACAGTTATCCTCTTAATTTCTCTGGGTTGAATCCTCTACATCCTGTTAACTGAATAAACGAATCAGAAATGGCGGGGGAAGAGGGAGATGGAATCGCCAGTCAGCCCAGCCTAAGGCTCAGTTTCTCTAGTGTCTCCTAGGGTTGATAATCCCATTTCAGGGTAGATCAGAACAAATCATTTCAAGCACAGGCCACTGCTTCATTCACATGTCACTCACTGGGGCTTCTCACTGGCACCAAATTCACTACCAGCCAGAGGACTGTCAAAGCAGTTCTCAGAATATCAAACTAACATGAGAGGCAGGTCGGGCTGTTTCTCCCTACACATGCCATTGTAGAGCATGTTTTCTTTCTTCTCCTCGCCTTTCTATACTACAGGCTTAAACCCCAGCACTGCAACTGCTTAGGGAGAACGTAGAACAGGAAGAATCTATTCCTAGTATACCAGTCAGAATCTTCCCCATTCACCTGAGCTGGCCGCTGGATCCTGCCTTCACTGTTTATGCTCACACACTTCTCTTGTTATTAAAGCCCTCTCTCTGTTTTGCCAGATTCATTGCTGGCTTTCCTTGACACTGCCCTTCTCTAAAATTTAGAGGTCAAATGAAGTATTTCCCCATATCCTCTCATGCCTTGGCTGCAGTGACAACTCTCAGTTACTGTAAAAACTGGAACAATTTCTCACTATAGCAAGTAGAACCAGCTTCCTGTTCACATTTCAGCTTGTAAGGAAAAAAACAAAGCACCCTTTGACACTTTTTAAAATGACTAAACCTCAGATGACATGCACATAGGTCGTGGAGCAGTTTTTAAACTAAGGGCTGGGGGGAAGCTGGTGGGCGCAGAGGAGCACACAGACCGGACAGAGACATCTCTTAGAGGAGGGTTTATTAATAGAGATTATGTTCTAGTAAAGAGGAGAGGATGAAAGATAATAAAGTGTGGGTAAGATCAGATGAGAGAAAAAAATCAAACAAAAAAGTCTAACAGTGTGAAGTGTGGGTAAGATCAGATGAGAAAAAAATCAAACAAAAAAGTCTAACAGTGTTTCCCAAATAGTGCTCTGTGGAACTCTGGGGTTCCAGGAGAACCCAATTGCCCCCCGCTCCACCCTGGAGCCAGACTTAGGGGCAGGTGAGCCAAGCAATTGCCCGGGGGTGGGGGGAGGTCAACCAGTTTTCCTTAGAGGTTTTTAAGGATTCCATGGCCAAATAAAATTGGGAAACACTGGTATAACATCAGGAAATGGCAGATAAATAGTGACACATTTTTAAAGTGCTTATAAACAAACACTAGAAGTCTAAATAATAAGATGGGTGAACTAGAGTGCCTTGTATTAAAGGAGGATATTGATACAATAGGCATCTCAGAAACCTGGTGGAATGAGGACAATCAATGGGACACGGTCATACCAGGGTACAAAATATATCGGAAGGACAGAACAGGTCGTGCTGGTGGGGGAATGGCACTGTACATGAAAGAAAATGTAAAATCAAACAAAGTAAAATCTTAAAATGAGCCAATAGAATCTCAATAGGTACTAATTCCATGCTCTAAGACGACAACGATAGCAGTAGGGATATATTATCAACCACCTGACGAAGATAGTGATAGTGACTATGCAATGCTAAAGGAGATTAGAGAGGCTATCAAAAAACTCAATAGTGGGGAATTTCAACTATCCTCATATTGACTGGGTACATGTCACCTCTGGATGGGATGCAGAGATAAAATTTCTTGATACCTTAAATGACTGCTTCTTGGAGCAGCTGGTTCTGGAACCCACAAGGGGAAAGGCAATTCTTGATTTAGTCCTAAGTGGAGCACAGGATCTGGTCCAAGGGGTAAATATAACTGGACCACTTGGAAATAGTGACCATAATGTAATAAAATTTAACATCCCTGTGGTGGGAAAGACACCTGGGGGTGTGGCATTTAATTTCTGAAAGGGGAACTACACAAAAATGAGATTAAACAGAAATTAAAAGGTACAGTAACAAAAGTAAAATCCCTGCAAGCTGCATGGAAACTTTTCAATGACACTAGAATAGAGGTCCAACTTAAATGTATACCCCAAATTAAAAAACAGTCAGAGGACCAAAAAAGTGCCGTGACTAAATAGTCAAATAAAAGAAGTAGTGAAAGATAAAAAGGCATCATTTAAAAAGCGGAAGTTAAATCCTAGTGAGGAAAAAGAAAGGAACAAAAAGTGGTCAAATTAAGTGTAAAAATATAAGAAAAGCCAAAAAGCATTTTGAAGAAGTTAGCCAAAAACACAAGAGTAATAGCAAAATATTTTTAAGTACATCAGAAGCAGGAAGTCTGCTAAACAACCAGTGACCCTTGGACGACTGAGATGCCAAAGGAGCACTCAGAAGATAAAGTCAATGTGGAGAAACTAAATTAATTATTTGCTTGGGTCTTCACAGCTGAGGATGTTAGGAAGATTTCCAAACTTGAACCATTCTTTTTAGATGACAAATCTGAGGAAGTATCCTAGATTGAGGTGTCATTAGAGGAGGTTTTGAAATAAACTGACTTGTTACTGTTAAATTTACCACTGGGACCAGATGGCATTTCACCCAAGGGTTCTGAAAGTACTCACATGTGAAATTGCAGATCTATTAACTGTGGTTTGTAACCTATCCTTTAAATCACCTTCTGTACCTAATGACTGGAAGATAGCTAATGTGACGTCAATATTTTAAAAAGGGCTCTAGAGGTGATCCTGACAATTACAGACTGGTAAGTCTAACATCAGTACCAAGCAACATCCACTCAATGTGCAGCAGCAGTCAAAAAAGTAAACATTCTTAGGAATCATTAAAACAGGGATAGAAAATGAGAGAACATCTTATTGCCTCTATATAAATCATGGCATGCCCACATCTTGAATACTGCATATAGATGTGGTCGCCTCATCTCAAAAAAATATACTGGTATTGGAAAAGGTTCAGACGAGAGCAACGAAAATGATTAGGGGTTTGGAATGGGTCCCATATGAGGAGAGATTAAAAAGACTGGGCTTTTCTTCAGCTTAGAAAAGAGGAGACTCGGGGGATATGATGGAGGTCTATAAAATCATGACTGGTGTGGAAAAAGTGAATAAGGAAAAGTTATTTACTTGTTCCCATAAGAACTAGGGGTCACCAAATGAAATTAATAGGTAGCAGGTTTAAAACAAACAAAAGGAAGTTTTTCTTCACACAGTGCACAGTCGGCCTGTGGAACTCCTTGCCAGAGGAGGTTGAGAAGAGCAGGACTTACTCATGGAGGTTTGGTCCCTCAATGGCTATTAGCCAGGATAGGTAGGAATGGCATCCCTAGCCTCTGACAGAGGCTGAGAATGGGTGACAGGTGAGAGATTGCTTGATTCCCTGTTCTGTTCACTCCCTCTTGAACATCTGGCATTAGTCACTGTTGGCAGACAGGACACTGGCTAGATGGACCTTTGGTCTGACCCAGTGTAACTATTCTTATGTTCAGAGTCACCCTAGTAAGGTTTAGTTCCAAATCATGCAGCCCCCTCCCCTCCTGGGCAAGGAAAGGGGAGACACTGACAGGTACCAGCACTAGAGGATACTTGGCAGTATAAGAAAAGGATGGTCTTGCCAGTCCTCCATGTCAAGCAGGAATCTCTCCTTTTAACAATACTTCTAAAGGATCTAGGTGCAGAAATATACCAGCTCCTTTTGCAGCAGCAAGACGATCCCATCTACCAACTGGTACGATCCGGATGACTTTGATTAAGGCAAGACTTGAGAAACGAGACACGAGACAACTTGCAGGCTGGGCGCTAGGGATATTAAAAAGCAGTTAATTAGGTAACTGCTAAAAATCTTAGCACTGACATGGGTCCTGGCTGCTGGCCCCACTCACAGGGAGCCAGCTGCGCTGCAGTATAAGTTTTACAGTGTGGGGTGGCAGGCAGCTCCCCAGAAGCAGGGCCGGGAGCTGGTGTGTAACCATTACAGTAACTGACAAGCTCATGCTTATTGATTAACTGTTGAACGGTTACACTGTTACACCCTTACTGAGTGCAGACAAAGCATTTATTTCTTCCCCTCCCCCTACCAAAAAAAGAGTGCAGGCAGCTGCTCATTGTTGCTATAAATAAAACAGCTCCAACATCTCAGCTACTTTTAGCTTTGGATGGAGGTAGCTGTAGAGCAGCTTTCCTAACAGAACAAAGGCCCCGGCTTTCACAATGGCCATTGTCTACCAAGGCAGGTAGAGCCAGAAAAGTGAATCTGAGCCCCAATACCCCGAGAACTCCCTCTAATGTCTCCATTGGGCATTGCTTATAGGCATTTCTAAATCTGAGCATCGAGTTACTTACTCAAACCTTGTTTGAGTTGCTGTGCGACATTAGCCTATTACCCATTCAACCAGTGTACCTGTGACAAAAGATTTGCCTTCTGACCAGGTGCTTAAATTAAAAACAAGATTACAAATCCCAGACCTCGGCCAAAATACCCTCCTGAAACTTCAAAGTACTACGGAGTTTTCTGGTCTCTTGTGCCATAGACAATAAGTCAAGGCGAGTTTAGTTTGAGTCTCTCACCTTGTGAGACTCCATTCCAAATGCAGTGCCTCAGCTGTGGAGAGCAGTACACCTGTACAGACCCTGTTCCGATTCCAGGGCTTTGCTTTCTAGTTCAGGACAAATATTACAAGCACAGTTGCACTTCTATAGCTGGCCCCGCCTATCATTCTGTCTGGCAGTAGGAGATAGGAGTCTGTTTCTACGCTTTAAACTGCAGTTTTGCAAGACTGGCCAGTTAAAAACAATTTTTCAAGTACAACAGGATTTTGCCTGTTTCCAGCTAGGAAACAGGGTTTGTGCACTAGGCTGAATTTTTAAATTCTAGATTAGGACAGAATTACTCAGTAATTACTTCATTGTTGAGTAAGTGGACTCTTGCACTGATGGGAAGTTCTTCCAGAAGTTACCACCAATACCAAAGGAAGTAAATGATCAGGGCACCTGATGCCAATACTAAAGATTTAAAATTCTGTTTAAAAAGTTAACTTGTTAAACATTATGTTTAACTGGATACAGTGGTCTGCTCCACCTGGGCTACGTCACAGGGTGGGGGAAGGAGGGCTGCTCCAGTCGAGCTAGGCCTACTGTGCCACACCACAGGTGGTGAGCTGTTCCAGCCAGGCCAGGTGCTGGTCACCCCAGTAAAACAATCAGTTAACCCTTTACATTCCTAGCGAATACTATTTTAATTTCACATAGCGATTGCAGAGATATGTATGACAGTAACAAAATATGATTAGGGTGAAGTAATCGCTGCTCCTTTCAGGAGCCCTTAACTCCACTGCAATTTAAGACGTATCTACCACACCAAGAGAACTTAATCTTACCCCCAAAGGAGATATGCCCACACCAGAGAAGAACCGCATGCAAGTTGAACAGGAAGTGCTTGGCATCAAAAGGAAATTTAGATCAATCCCCACTGAGCTCAGGAGGAAAGTGGCAGGACAGCACAGCAGTCTAAGAACAGAGCATCAGTGCTTGAGTGACCAACTTGGAAATAGATTATCATATATTGTTACAATTGGCACTCTTTGGCAAGAAGCATTGGGGAGTCCCAGGAAGTCATATACCCCATTGCCCACCAAAGCCATCCCTTCGTCAGATTGCAAGTGTATGTAGATTATGAGTATGAATTACCACGGCTCCCAGGGCAAAATGTTTCAAGTGAAGAGGGGAACCTAACTCCAAAGAGGAGCCACATTAATAGTAAAGAGTGCAAAAGCATTTGAAATTCTCATCTTTTAATGGGCAATGGTAACTTCGGGCTGGTTTTGTGTATACAATTAAACAAGAGAGTTAAAGGTTCCCCCCCAAAAAAAGTCACACCCCCTTTTCTTCCACCAACATTCCACTGCTGGATTCAACTCCCACAGCCTAGCATACACCTCTTAAGTCACCGCAGATCCACATCTCAAGAGTAATGAAGAACTGAAAAACCTTGGTGCACCAATGATGTGTTATTTTAAAAATAACAACTCTATTAAACCCAACGCCTTCCCAGTCTCCACTGCTTTTCAGAGGGAAAAAAATGTTACTGTGGGAGTCTTAATACACTTTGTCTTTGTGGGTTTCTCTTTTCCCTATTGAAGTCATACAACGTAGAGTTCATAGATCTTCTTTACACAGTACACCAGGGCAGCGAGTGCTATCGTGTTATGCAGTCTCTTTCTGTGCAGATCATCCTTTCTCACCAGCACTACAGGAGTGGAGGAGGTGAGTGTATGCAGGGGCAGGCGGGAAAGTTTATAGGCATCATACTCTACTTGGTACTTGCAGCAGGGGTCGAACTGCCAGGAGATACCGTAGAGGGTGCAGCAGGCCATGCTCAGCACGCCGGCCGGCAGGGAGATGTAATGGGAATAATCTGCTCGAAGTGCCAGTGGGGTGACAAGACAGGCAGTGCCTGCTAGGACAGCGGTCTTGTGCAGGCAGTTCCCCACTGTGATCCAGCGAGCGGTCTCATCCCCGATGCGAGTGGGTTCTATCACTATGTATTTGTACTGTGCTTCCAGAGCCTGCTCCAGCTCATACTCAAACTGGTCCTGAGCATTCTCCCCATTGTAGATTTCATGCACAATGTAACACTCCGTGGAGCCCACAGTGATCCTGTTAACAGGAAAAACAGAATTAAACACAAGAGCACAGAAATCACCTTTCTTCTACATTAATCCAGGTATCTTGGAACATGGGGAAACTGAAAATTGAACACAGGTCAGCACCTCAGGGTCATGTGGCCTCTGCCTCTCCCCTCAACAAAGTAGTTACTTTTTCTGCTCAAGACTCATGTAAGAGCAGCTGATCATCCAAGGGAAACAAACTCTCCTCCAGGATTACTTACACGTTTTACATACAAGTGAACTTTACTTGCCTCACTTTGGGGAATTAAGAACTTAAGAAAACAAGATCTTGGGACTGGTTGAATCCTTCTGAAACAGATTTCCCCACTTGACTTCTGCCATCACGGACATAACAGTTCGCTGCTGTGGAGATAGTGCCAATCAGCATATTTAATTTCTAATAGGGCTCAACCAATTTTTTTTTTTTTTTTTTTACTACTTACTAACTGATGCAGGCAGAGGAGTCGGCACTATGAACGGCCAAGCTTTAGTGGTCTCAGGGCTCAGCCCTGGCGAAGTTTAAGCACTGGTGTCAGCGTCACAAAGAGGAGACTGGCAGATGATGGCATGAGCCACCAATGGAACAAAACTGAATACGAATACAAGTTGTCCCCTCAACGAAGGTGTTGCAAATTTTCAATGAAACACGCATTTTGTCCATCCTCTTTCCTGGCACATATCAGTACAAAAATCAAATCCAGGATAATCCCCACATTTCCAGATCCGCACCTCCACCATGTCAGCTCGAGAACCAACCGCGACGCAGCCTACACTCCGGCTTGCTATAAGACTAACCAATTTGGGGGATTCAACCTGTGGTAAAATAAGGAATGACACAAATTTGTAGTTAGAGAAGTGACAATAGAGCAGAGCTGGGCACAATGTGGCCCGGGTCCACATGCCACTTGGATCCGGCCCGCAGACTATATCTGTCCGTTTTCCATTTGTGCCCTGCTGCCCATGCCACCGAATTTCCAGACAGTGGCTCAGGCAGCAAGACCCTATTTAAATGGCTCATGGCTCCCAGTCATGGTGCTACCCCAGCAGGGGCCAGAGCCAAGAGCCCTTTAAATAGCTACAGAAATCCTGGGCAGCTGCGAGGCAATGTGGTAGTGGCGGAGCCATGTGCCCTTTGTTGTATTTTTAATTCAAAGCCTCCGGCCCCAGACAATGCTGGAGAGGGAGGCTAGTTCCCCAGCCCCACCCCCTTCCATGCCAGGCCCTGCCCCTTCCGAGGGTGGAGCTGGCCTGTGATCATGTACTAAAATTCATTAAGTGCCTCGCCCCCCGCAAAAATTATTGCCCACCCCTGCAATAGAGCATCAATCAGAATTTGTTAGCACATTCAGTCCCTTCCTTTTGCTACAGTAGGAGGCAACAGAGGAAAGAGGCATCTTTTGCTTGTGCAACACTGGTTAAATAAGGAACAAATGCTCGCATTACTCTGGAGCAGTCTCCCTACTCTTACCACCCGCATGTGCTAGGTAAGTTCTGTACACTCAGGGTACGTCTAGACTACATGCCTCTGGCGACAGAGGCATGTAGATTAGGCTACCCAACATAGTAAAATGAAGCGGCGATTTAAATAATTGCCGCTTCATTTAAATTTACATGGCTGCCGCGCTGAGCCGACAAATAGCTGATCAGCTGTTGGTCGGCTCAGCGCTGTAGTCTGGACGTGCTGGTGTCGACATCAAAGGTATTTGTCGACCACCCAGGTATGCCTCCTGGGATGAGGTTTACCTGGGTGGTCGACAAATACCTTTGATGTCGCCACCTGCGCGTCCAGACTATCGTGCTGAGCCGACAAATAGCTGATCAGCTGTTGGTCGGCTCAGCGCAGCAGCCATGTAAATTTAAATGAAGCGGCAATTATTTAAATCGCCGCTTCATTTTACTATGTCGGGTAGCCTAATCTACATGCCTCTGTCGCCAGAGGCATGTAGTCTAGACGTACCCTCAGACTGCACATTTCACACAAGATCACTAGCTCTTGGTAAAACAGCTGTAGGTAGCATGGATTAGTTTCCAGCTTCCTGCTCCTCAGCAGCATCTAGTCCTTTATCTTCTTACGCCAAAGTCCACAGATATGTTCACTTATCTGTGAAGTAGCCTCACAAATGCTCTGCTCCCTGACTGAGAAAGTAAAACAGAGCAAATGGCATTGTCTGTTTACACAGGATGAATTTCACCTCATTAAAAAACTCATTTTAATATGCTCTGATAAAAACCTGCATCCCAAGCACACCAGTTCCTGAAAATACAGTTATTGTGCAAATTCCTTTAGCAGACCAAGAGCAATCAGTACACATTATTGACCTACTCACAGCAAAGGAATCAGTGCTGATAGAACTTGGGTTCAGTAAGTTATATTTGGCAATGGAAAACTCTGCAACGGAGAATGAAACTAACACTTCTTTTTTGTTCCAGTCATACAAAGATACTAGCTGTTCTCACTGGAAATGGCAAAGGAAGAGAGGATACATGTTTGCAAGCTGCTCTAGCACCAGACATTACCCTTTAAGTGCAGCTTTTTTCACACTGTAAAGGGTATTGTGCACAGGCCACCTGTAATCAAGAAGATTGTTAAATTACAGGCTGTTGCCTGAAGTAGCTTGTTTACAGCGAATGGTGACAACAATACCAAGCAGCGGGAGCAAAGATTTATCAGCCTCCTTTTTAAGAAACAATGATCTGTTTCTGTGTCTGGTTGGTATTTATATAAACCTGTAAGCAAGGTTTTTCTTTTAAGCCAGACACTGAGCATTCTCTGATTTAGGGATGTTACAATTAGATCAATCAAATAGTCGATGGAATTTCTATTGACTATTTGATTAGTCGATAAGGGCACTTCCACTTTGAAATGTAGCGAGACGCTGCTGGGCCCCAGCAGGGGCTCTTGTGCATTTCAGACTGAAACACTGCATGGAGCCTGGGGCCAGCAGAGGACTCAGAGTCCCCCACTGGCCCCAGGCTCCATGTGGCGCTTCCACTTTGAAATGTACAAAGGGTACTGTACCACTGGTTGAGAAACACTGGGCTAGCAGATCAACCCCTTCAGCTTGTCCATTACTCAACCTTGCAGTAGGGATGCTAGCAAATGTTTATTTTTGTAAATGTGTAGCGATGAACTTTCAGCTATTACAGGTTTACAGGTGGGAGTGGGGGGCAGACAGCAGACAGTGCTTGTGGGGAGCTAAGAGATAACCTAATTTCTCTGTCCAAATAGAGTCAAACCTATTGGTGGGTACAAGGTAAAGTTAAATCTTTTCACCGGCAGTTTCCCTCTCTAGTAAGTCCTGAAGATGTTTTAAGGGTTAGTGCAGCCAGGACAGAAGAATTTTCAAATCCATTTCACAAGGCATCTGGGATGGCAAGATATTTATCAGAGCTGTTTTTTACCAGATTAAAATCAGAGTTTTTAATCACCTCAGAAAAAACTATTTAGTTCCAGGTTAAGGCATTTTCTACTTCAAAAACTGTTTAGTTAATGCACATCACATTACTTTGTTTTAATTACATATTTAAATTGTGTTTACACTAGGGATATTACATATCAGGTAATTAAATAGTCATGTAACTGCATTAAATCTTAGCAGTTATATGACTATGCGATAGCCTCTGGGAGTGGGGTGGCAGCCAATGCACTCCCGGCCCCACACGTGGGGAGCCCTCTGCAACCTCATGCTGCTGCCTGATAGAGAGGGCAGCAGTGTGAGGTGGCAACAGCCCTTGTGTGTGGGGGGGTCCGAGCGCCCCACGGACAGAGGCTGCTCCATGGAATGCGGAGCAGCCTTTGACTGCAGGGCACTCGGACCCCTCCGCAGACAAGGGCTGCTTCTGCAAAGCAGCCTCTGCCCGTGGCGAGCCCAGGCTTGCTGTAGAATCATAGAATACTAGAACTGGAAGGGACCTCAAAAAATCGAGTACATTCCCTTGCCCTTATGGCAGGACCAAGCACCATCTAGATCAGTGGTCTCCAACTTTTTTACACCAAAGATCACTTTTTAAATCTCAGAACAGACGAAGCTCTACTGCCCTGCCCCTTTCTTGAAGCCCCACCCCTTTCTATTCTCCTCCTGTCCATCACTTGCTATCTCCAGCCCTTACTTACACACTCTTATAAACACTTTATTTTTAAATTATGCAATATATAAAATTAAAATCACGTGTTTATAGTTATGAAGTAAATGGGTCTGTTTTTTATTCATGCTATTTAAATCTAAAATGAAGCGTTTATAATTATACATTTTGTGGGGACAGAGTTCTGCGGCTGGGGGCAGGGGAGAGGGAACAGGGTGCTGGGAGGGCAAAGGACAGGGTGCTGCAGCAGGGGACAGGGTGCCAGTGGGGACAGAGTTCGGGGAGTGGGGACGGGAATGGGGACAGAGTTCTGTAGCTGGGGACAGGGAGTGGAGTCTGGGGAGCAGGGGCAGGGTGCCAGTGGCAGCAGAGTCACCTGCATCTGCCTCCTCCCAAGATTCTCTCCCCCCCTCCCCCACGGGAAGCCAGCACATGCCTCCTCTGGGCCCCCCACGGCACAGGGAAACCCCAAGCGTGCCTGCCCCGGGGCTAACCCCCCCATTCTGTGGCAGGGCCAAAAACC